AAAAAAAAAAAAAAAAAAAAAAAAAAAAAGAAAAGGTAATATGAAGATGAGGTTGGGGTGATGAGATATTGTGAGTAAAACTTGTATACTGGTAAAACCAAAATAAAACCCGAACTCCTGACTTAGGAACTTGGGCATATTGTGCCCAAAAGGCATGTACTTTCCCTGAGTTGGAACAGGGCCTGGGTATCTCAACCCCAGCAAATGTTCTCCTCCTACCTGGAAGGTTTAAGTATCTCCAGGAAAAACAAAGATTGAACATGGAAAGTCCATGCCTCCAAAGCCTTCTTCTCACATGAATAGAGTCCACAGAGAGCTAGACCATGATTCCTAAAGCAAGTTAATCACTTTGAGACAAAGTCTGCTGGGAGGACTGGGGACAACTGGCCTCTCTTTGCCCATGGTGGTGAAGGACTAGCTTTTGCAAAAGAGATCCTTGGGTTTAAAGCCGCTAGTTTACACACACACACACACAAATACACACACACGCAAGTGTGCACACACACACATATACAGAGACAACCCGACTTAGGGAGGTGGTCTCTCAATTAGAGGTCAAGAGAAAAACTAGGACCAGAACCAGAGCAGCATGGTTATGCCTCAGGCTGGCAGGCCATGCTCCCCTTCCTCTAAGGGGACCTGGACTCCCAGAGTTGTGACTTATGCTTGGGCAAGGCTGCCAGGCCTGGTCTCCAGGATCCATCCCTAAGGCTTCTGGTGGAGAGATGAACCAGCAGCATGAGACACACAAGTGCTGATGTGGAGAAGGACATGGGGACACATGGGGGCGTTCCAGACAGTTCTCTGGCAGAGAAGCTGGAGACCTTCACCTTCCCCATTTTCCACATGGACTTGGGAGTAAAGCCTCGCTCAGAAGGCCTAACAGCACTCTGTCCACCACAGCTGCTCATATAAAGTTCTCCCTGATGCCTCTAAGAGCCAGGTTCTCTCAGGCCGAGTCCCTCTGAGATGTCTTTGTGTTCTTATTACAGCAAAGGCAGTGTCTACAGAGAACTCACAGGACAAAAAGAGGTCTTCATGAGGTCCCCACACATGGGAGAAAGACATGAATACAGTTTTTGAGGCTGCAGTTGGGGAGGGCCATGAAACGCAGGGAAGTCATAAGACGCATGACACTGTATGGTCCCAAGCAGAGATGGCTAACAGGAACAAAGCTGGACTTGAGCTTCCTGGACAGCATGCACACAGACAAGGCTGTGGAAGCACACACAACAGATTTGGAGGTATGGTGGCAGTCAGCCCAGGGGTAAGGAAGTGCTGCGCACTGGGGGGAAAAGGGGCTTCCTGGACTCCAGGTAGGATATAAAGGAGCAGGCAGTGGTGGCAGAGACAGGGCCATGACCTGCCCTGTAGCTGGCTTCCAACCTGAGCAAGGGTTAAAGACTGCATGTAGCTGAGTTAAGTAGGTAACATGCCCACCTGTATTCAGGAACATGCTGGGATCATGAGCCCTCCCTAGGTTCATGCTGCATGGGGAAAAGAGCCTATGTGGGAGTGAGGAGACTGCACACAAGAAGCCCCAAGAAGTCTGTGAGAAGAGAGTCCCCAGGAAACATTCCTTGTCAAGACGGTGGTTAAATAATCCAGTCCAGACACTCTCAGAAATCCCAGAACTCTGTTTGTAACCACTACTATGACTTCAATCTGAGAAGGTGGGCCCAGGACCAGGGTTGGAGAACATCCCTGCTCAGATCTGCTGCCTGCTCTCCTACAAGACACAATTCTCTGATGAGCATGGTTTGGAGACCAGACTAAGCACATAGGAATGGAAAACCAGAAAGCCACGGCAGTGTAGGATGAGCAGCACTGAAGAGCAATCGGTCTACTCTGGAAACCTCAAAAATGGCCCCTATGAATGGTCTCGCATCTTCCCTGGCAGCTGTAACTTCCCGAGCACTGACATGTGCCAGGCTCTGTTCTAAAGGGTTTTATGTGTCATATCTTACTTAGTTCTGACAATCCTCTGAACCAAGTACTGAGATCTACATTTTATGGGCCAGAAAACTGAAGCTCTGTCAAGCTGAGCAACTTGTCCAAGATTATAGTCAGTGAGAGGTAGAGGAAGATCTGAACTATGCTCAGACTCCGAATTCTTTCCCACGGCATAACAGGAGATGTTGAGACTCACCTTGTTCCCAGAGATGCCATGCGAGAGTGACTTGGGTGTGACGGAGCCCCCTGCCTGAGACCCTACCCCCTGTGGTGCTCAGCAGCACTTCACTCCCTGTAGAGCATCTGTATCACACATGTCCTCAAGCTCCTGCTGTGGAGAGTCACAGGGCTTGATCAGGTATCTGCTGGAGTTTGAAAGTGACAAGGAGACAACCAGGCTTCCCGGTACTCTGTGCATGCCACCGACACAGACCCCTTTGCCAAGGAGAGAGAAGGCTCCCTCTTGGGCTCCTCTGTGGACTCATGGAGTGAGTTCGGCTGTCCTGGGGCCTACCACAGTCAGGAATGTGATGGGTAAGGGAATGGCTGTCTCTACCAACCAAAGTCACCAGAACTGAGGGTACAGAAAACTAACTGAGCAACCTGTAGGTCTCCCCAGGCTGCGAACCTGACCCATGGGCCTTCTTTCTTTGTCTCGCTGTTCTTCCTCTCTGACCTAAGCAGCAAACCTCCCTGGAACAGTGTGGTTCCAGAAGACAGGATGAAATTGCTACACAGAACCACCCTCAACTGGCAGCTCCCCCAGCTGATGCTCAGGAGGCTGGCGAGGCAAGCTGAGCCCTTACCGTTGTAGGAGAGGCGAGGTTTGCTCAGACACATTATAAAGTGCATTTCCATCTCATCAGAAGCCACAGACTTGGAGCAAATGGGGCACTTGAAACCTGAAAGAGAAGAGAGCAGGATGAAATTTCTCCAAACCCAGTATATCTCCAATCCATGTGGACACTCTAAATGACTACAGCCACATGGAGCCAGAGTCCACTGGAGGATGACAATCTGGAAAGAATCTACACCTGATTTCTCCCTCAATAAAGTTTATTTGAGGTTTTGCTTTTTCAATGCAGTCGTTGACACCAACATTTTACTAGGACTCCCCCTCTCATACAACCCTTGTTCAGAAGTCACTGACACCTGTTTTTGTTTTTTCCAGAGATGGGGTCTTGCTGTGTTGCCCAGGCTGGAGCGCAGTGGCATGATCATAGCTCACTGCAGCCTCAGTCTCCTGGGATCAATCAACCGTCTGCCTCAGTCTCCCTAGTAGCTGGGAAAACAAGCACATATCACCAAGCCCAGATAATTTATTTTTATTTTTTAGCTTTTTGGTAAAGGCAAGATTTCAATCTCCTGGGCTCAAGTAATCTGCCTTTTCTTGGTCTCTTGAAGCACTTGGATTTCAGCTATGAACCACTGCGCCGGCCTGAATTTTATTTTCTTTTAGATCCTTTCTCAAAGAGGTCTAGTGAATAAACAACAGGGATAGGGATGCATCAAGTCACCTGAATGACTGGCATTTGCATAATAGATTAGTATCCTTCTGTCTCACAGACGTCAAACCATTTGGTTGGATCACTCTGGGAGGAAATCTTGCAGTCACCAGCACCTCTATCTCTCACCAAGCTCTGCCACCCCAGCACACCCATGACCAGATAGCACCCCCACCCATCCAAAACACCCTTTGCTTCCGTCATGGCTAAGGCAGCTGTCCTCTGAGAAGCGTGTGAACTGTGGGTGGCCCTCCAGAATGCTCCCAAATGCCACATAAGTCTTGGCCAAATGCCACCGAGTATAATAGCTGTTCACGGTGCCAGGTGAATACAGGGTATTGTGATCCTACCGATAATCACACACTCAAAGAGTTTCAATTGATATGAAATTGTTTCCATAGTGAAGAATTTTGGTTGAAAATCTTCTGAGTTGAACTCCATTAAGCAAGCCTAATCTTTTGATCTATTTTTCCATATGACAGAGATTAACTATTTCTAAATTTTCCCATTTTACTTTCATTGAAACAAATTTTTCTTTTTCTTTTTTTTTTGAGTTGGAATCTCATTCTGTCACCGAGGCTGGAATGCAGTGGCACAGTCACGGCCACCGCAGCCTCGACCTGATGGGCTCAGGGCGTCCTTCAACCTCAGCCTTTCAAGTAGCTGGAACTACAGGTACATGCCACCATGTCTGGCTAATTTTTTGATTTATTGTAGAGACGAGGTCTTGCCAAGTTGTCCGGCCTGGTCTTGAACCCCTGGACTTCGGCAATCCTCTCACCTCAACCTCCCAAAGTGCTGGATTGAGCCACGGCATCAGGCCTGAAATAATTTTCAAATGGATCAATTCTTTTCCGTATAAATTCTACCAAAAAGAGCCGGGCTCGGTGGCTCAGCCTGTAATCCCGTGCCTTGGGAGGCTGAGGTGAGTGGATTC